GGGGTTTTCCAGAGGAAGAGGGAAAAGGATGACCTGTTCAAAGGAATAAAGGAATGAAGGGTCATTATAGGGACCAGTGCTTCATTAAACCTGGTACATATTGAGTATTTGAGAAGTATCAGGAAATCAAGCCAGAAAAGACACAGGAGCCATGCTAGGATCCCTTGGTAATTATGTGGGAGACGCACCTGGAAACAGATGGTTGCGGTGGGCAAGGTGAGTGGCGAGGGCCAAAGGAAGGTCAACTGCAATGTGAAGGACGGTGAGGGAACAGTCAAAAGAAATCTAGGATTTGGTGACTGATTAGATGTAGAGAATAAAGAGGAGGAAGAAACGAAAAAGGACGCGCAAATGGGCATAAAACCTCATTCCCTTCCACCCCACATGGTTCTTTCTATCAAGTTCCCCACTAGTAATTATTTCCTTCTATATTAATCTCCCCTCCATACCTTTCCCAGTTCGTTCAACTCTTGTTTCCTGTTCCCTAAAAAAGCTTCCTTACTTCTTCCCACCCCTAAATCATCTACTTTGTCATCTTCCTCCCCTTCCCAAATTTCTCTTTTCCCATCCCCTTTCTCATTTTAGTGCAGCACATATTTAGGTGCACAGAGCCTCATTTTACAGATAAACAAAATCGAAGCAACACTAGTTACCAGCTCGGTGACCTTGGACATTCTCTGAACTCAGTCTCCTCATTTGTAAAACTGGGTAACAATACCTACTGCTCGGGGCTGTTCTGAGGGTCCAATGGAATAATGTCAATAAAGCACTTAGTTTAAAAACTGGCTCAAAATTGCCAATAAGCTTTTGCTATAGTTGTTATAGAAAAAGAAGTTAAATAACTCGCCTAAAGTCGCTAGCTAGTTACCAATTAGTTGCAGGAAAGTAGACTGCAGTGCAAATTCCTGGTTAGTAATCTGTTTTTCATTTTATTTCACTTTATCTTCCCCTTTGCTGTCTTCCTACCTGCACAGCTATCTCTGTTCAACATTCGGCATCTACTCTCCTAAAAAATGGAAGAAGACTGGTCCTGAGGCTTTTCCCAAAACCTGTGAAAAGATCTTTAGGAAAATTAAGGTAACTTTTCTATGAATAGATAGACCCAAAGTCCTTTGAATTTACCTTTGGTTTTTAGCCAACTAATATCTCTCTCTCTCACACACACACAGACTTTGCAAGGGGTATGCTATCGGAAACTAAATTAGTATTGTCTGTTTTCCTTCAATGAGTCTCATATTTACTGCCCCCTGCACAGTTGCCTGACATTAATATCTGCAAAGTGAAAATATACATGATGTTCTACACAGTCACCTTGCTGTCCACCCTCCCAGCACAGCAGCCAATCTTCCTAAGATCGGAACAAAGCACCAGTGTTGTCCTGGAACCATTACTGAGCTCCAGGACCAAGATCTCCTTTTGGTGGGAGAACTCCCAATCCAGGACCCAGAGAATGTTGCAACTTTTCATTTGTAGAAGGACCATGAAATCTACTCTCTGGTCAGCTGAGAGGATGTTTTGATTCTTAGGCAAAATAAACAAACAATTAAAATTCTGCAGAGGTGGCTAAGAAATGTGTAGATTTACCTAGAAATTATTTCAAATTTCCTCTCATTTTCAAGTTTATTTTTCACTAAGTAGCCTACTAAACCAATAAAGCAGGAAGAAAATTGTCTCAAGTATTCCAGAGGTAATAAAAACAAACATATTATTTCTTGCCAAGCCTGTGACTCCTCTGATTAAACTGCATGATAGTGGGAAAGGGAGAGGTAATAAGAACAAGAGATACTATCTTCTTTGGTCTAGCAGTTATTTACCTTAAGTTTTTAAAAAGCCCAGCTACAAGAAATAAAAGAGAGCAACACCATCACTACTTGGAAGGCTCTGGAAGCAGGCGTGTTTTCATCTACCATGGTTCTGTAACAGGCTTCCCTCCAGGCATATGGATACCCCCCTAAGTTCTTTCTAGTGCAATGACCTACGTATTTTCAAGAACCTCAGAGCACTAAAGACACTGTCTCATTTTTCTCCCCAAACTTTATGAATGATAAGTATGATTATTAGTCTTATTTTATAAATGGAAAAAAATCAGGCTCTCGCCGATTCTTGAACACATCAACAGGTGTTCCCTAAAATGATGCCATGGGAAGTACCTGGTATTGCCTACGAAGCTCTCTCGACACTGATGGTTAGTTGAAATCTAAACACGTGGAAACAATCAGATAAATCTAAATTTCAGGACTTTCTACAAGACACCTGGTCTGGACTTTGGAAAAATGTCAATGTCTCAAGAAACAAGAGAAAAGGTAAAGGGACTGTTCCATATAAAGGAGGCTAAAGGAAAAAAAGAGGCTAAAGAAATACAACCACCAAATGCAATGCACGATCAATCCTTCATTCCATCCTATATCAGGGGAAAAAGCCAGCCAGGAGCAAATTTTGGGGAGCAATGGGGGAAATTTGAATACAGTCTGAGTATTAGGTATCATACTTGATAAATTTGGGGGACAACATAATGATTTTATGTTTACACAGGGGAATGCCCTGGTAAATATTTAAGGTGAAGGTTTTAAGATCACTATTTTCAAATGGTTTAGTAAAAAGAGACAGGGACAAAATAGGGCAAAATGTTAACAATTAGAGAATATACTGTTAAGTGAAGGATATACAAGTATTCATTTACTATTTCTCTCTTAAGATTCAATGGGTCTAGCCCTGGCTGGTGTGGCTTAGTTGGGTTGGGTGCCATCCTGCACACAAAAAGATTGTGGGCTCAATTCCTGGTCAGGCCACATACCTAGATTGCTAAAATTTGACCTGGATTGGTCAAAGAGCTGAAAAGAGAATGGGGGTATACTCCCTCATTCCCAAAGCCCTGCTTGAGGGATCAATATCCAGTGCAACAGTCATGAATCAAATATTTAAGGCAATTTTCCTAACTTAATAAGTACTTTATTTGGGGCAAAGGGTAAAAGTAATTGCTTGAATGAAAAGGATATATAGGACTTAATTCACTTGATTGGTCCATCTACTTTGTCCTTTTAAAATATAAATGGTTGAGGCTAAATTTCATAAAACAATGAAAATAAAATTTTCATTGAATACTGAAAGCTTTCTATTTCACATAATCTTCTGGTCTGCATGTCCTATTCCTGTGGAAGTTCATAGAACATGCCTTTGCTGGAAGACAGAAATCATGATATTTACTTATTATAGACTGTACACTGTACTATGACTAGCTAGGTAAGAGGATGTCTGTGTTTTTATCAAATACATGCTAATGTATTTAGAAGTAAAGGTCCAAGATGTCTGCCACCTATTCTCAAATCATTAAGCAGAAGTAAAGTAATAATACTATATAGAGTGGTAAAGTGAATGTTGCAAAATGTTAACACCTGGTGAATCTAGACAAAAATTATGCAGGAATTCAGATTCTTGTACAGTATTCAACATAAAAATAACCCCTTAACAAACAGTTAATTCTGTTAGGGCAGAAAATGGAGTAGCATTTCTGGACCTCCTCTCCCAATCCCAACCTTGTCACCACTGTCATACTCACCTCCAGGCAAAGGAGCAAAGGCTTCTCTACATGCTTCTTTCAGTGTATCAGTAGGTGAAAAGAAAGTGGATAGGCTAAAACTCAGCATGATCATTTACTTACCTTGGTTCCAGTTTTAGACATTTTTGGTGCATAGATGGGTTTCCCCAGAGCTGATATCCAGGGACAGCTACCGAGTTAGAGGCACAGAGACATTTATACTGGGCTGGTTTCAAACCAAACATTTGCTTAGTCATGAGAATAGGATCCAAAAATTGAGTCAGTCTTTTAGAAGCTACTGATGGTTTCTAGAAAAACAATTGGGATTATGAAATAAAGGAAAGCTTTCAGTACCCACTTTATTGCTTACCAAGCCTTGCTGCACTATTTGCTGAGTCCAGACACCAAAACTCAGCCAAAGTTTTCAAAATTAAAAAAATGAAAAAGGTCCTTTTACCTGGGCAATTTGATTTTCAAGAAATCAGCAGGAGATGAGTCAAAAGGACATCCTCTATTTCTGAACAGAAGTGACATGTTGCAAAGCAACATAACATATAAAGGCAATGCATGCTCTTTGGTTTGAATAACAAGTCACAGGAAAGGACATCTTTGAAACAATTAGCACAAATTTTAATATAAACTGTGTATTAGATAATACTATTGTACCAATGTTAAACTTCCTAAATTTAATCACTGTACTGTGACTAGCTAGGTAAGAGCATGTCTGTGTTTTTATCAAATACATGTTAATGTATTTAGAAGTAAAGGTCCAAGATGTCTGCCACCTATTCTCAAATCATTAAGCAGAAGTAAAGTAATAATACAATATAGAGTGGTAAAGTGAATGTTGCAAAATGTTAACACCTGGTGAATCTAGACAAAAATTATGCAGGGATTCAGATTCTTGCACCAGTTAAGTTAGAATTTTACAAACACACACACACAGAGTTCTAATCCATAAGAAACGGTGCTACATATGTAGCCTGAGAGACCGAGAACTACTATAGGGGCTCCTGAATTTGCAAAGGTTTAGCTAAGCCCAACTCGCTACTTACTAGGTAGCATTTCTCTGCAAAGATCTCTTACTGGGACCTGTTTAGAGAACATGTTGGCACTTAATACACCTCTGACTTTAGGGATGAGATTACTACCTTATATATGCTCAAAAACAAACAAACAAACAAACAAACAAACATCAACTGTTTTTCCAGTTTACTTTTCCTGGGCAAGTATATTTTTCTCAAAAGTCCCACTTCGTCATCTTTCCATTATCCAAGTATCCTACAAATATTTTTTATAAATGAGATGCCCCAAGATACATTATGGCCAATTCAGAAAATGGCAAATGTGTTTTGAAATGAAGATTACTAGGAAACTAAGTGTTAAGTTATTAGCTTAGTGTTCTGAATTTTATGAAGTTTAGAGAAAGTAATTAATATCTTTATTTTAATTAACCAAAAGCAATTTACAAAACATATTTTTATCACTCCTGTGTTTATTTGATAACACTCTGCTTCCTTGAATTTCATCTTAAAATAAAAAATATGAAAACCTCAGAATTAACACATTCCAAGGTTTTTCACTTCAGAAATACAGTTCAAGCCCTTTTTTGAAATAATTAGGAATTCAATGGTCAGTGAGCGTATGAAACCCTTATCAGCAATCAGATTCACTTTACTAATTTGATAATTATTTTATGTTATCTTAAAGAACACAGCTTTCCTAATCAAATGTAAACTTTATTTTGATATATCACAGAATAACACTGGAAACCTTTTTCTAAAGTTATAAGTTAAGCTTTATCTTTTTATCAAAAGGAGAAAATTACTTTTTATAGCATGTTTATTGAAAATCTGAAGCACAAAGTGAAAATAAAGACTTTACAATTTCATTAAGTTTTATACTTTAAGGACTAAAATATCTTTGCATAAAAGTATTTTGCTACATTTATATACCAACGATCATACTTTCTTTCCAATTATTTCTGAAAAGAGTAGCAATTTCCTTTTACATAGTTACAAAGAACTATAAAACTCTTAACCCCAGAAAGGATGAAACCCTTTTATCATACAAATTAAAATGTGAAGTTAACTTGTAAATCTACATTCAATCACTTTAATATTAACATATATACAATGGGGCAGGCTTCATCAACTTTTCCATTTTGGCATCACAAAGATGAATCATCCCATGTTCTATAAACAGTACATTTATATGACAGGTCAGAAGTTTACCTAAAATTCAACTGAAATGGTAATAAATAAGTATGAAATGGAAATCAAGGAAAGGTCTTAAATAGGAAGAAAAAGCCCCAAAGTCTTTTAAGCAGCAAGAGCACCTTCCTGATTTAGTTTCAAGATGCACATCATCTTCCATTCATCCTCATTCTTCCAGGGCCCTGAAGATAAAAGAAAAAATTTAAATTAACTTCGTTTTCTATTGTCTTCATGCACATAATTAGAAAAAACCTTTGTAATTATAAAATCACATAAATTATCAAGGCCAGATGAAAATTAGAAATAGTAAAATATACAAAGTTTAAAGTTAATTATATTCATTTTTTCTGAGGAACACATTAGTTCATAATAAAGAAATTCATACATAAACCTTAAACATTGGCAGGTTATGAGAATTAGTTGAACTAAACTTTTCCCTGTTATAGTTTCTATTTCCTTATAATATTCAACAGATTTCCTATTCTTAACTTAGCATTTACTGACTAAATACTGTAAAATTCCTTTTTAATAAAAAGTAATACTTTAAAATGTAAACAACATATAAAGTAAACAATAAATTCACGGGTTTGGAAAACAGTTGAGCAGTTAGTCACATATTAAAACACACAACCTTCTACTCCTAGGTATGCACACAAAATCAAAAAAAATGTCTACCCAAAACCTTGTACCCAAAAGTACATAGCGTCATTATACACAGAAGCTAAAAAGTGGAAACAACTCAAATGTCCATCAACTGATGAACAGATAAAGTGTGGTATATCCACACAATGGAATATTATCCAGTCATAAAAAGGAATGACATACTGACACATGCTACATGGATACACCTTGAAAACACTATGCTGAAAGAAACCAGACAAAAGTCACATGTTTTATGATTCCACTTTATATGAAATGTCCAGCGTTGACAAATCTAGAGACAGAAAGGGAAGTGGTTGCCAGGGACTGGGGGAAGACGAGGTCTCTGCAGTTGGAGGAGTGGGGAGTGACTGTCTATGTGTGTGGGGTTCATTTTTAGGGTGATGACAATATTCTGGATTTGTTAATGGTGATGGCTGCATAAACTTTTGAATATAATAAAAGCTGCTGAATTCTTCACTTTAAAAAGGTAATTTTTATGGTAAATCAATTATATCTCAATAAAAATTAAAAATAACTTTTTTCCCACTGTAGACACTGAGTTTCATTTCTCAAAGACAAATACTGTTTGTGATTTTTTTATATCTTTTCAGAAATTTTAAGGCATATAATTAGCATAGAAGTATGTGTGATAATCCCTCTCTTTTTTCAAATACACAAGGGAACATTTTACACACACATTTGCCCCAAACCTCCCACCCCTGGCTCAGTGATCATTTAGTGTCAGCACAATCAGATATACCTCATTCTTTTTGAAGAGGAATTCCATGACATCAATATATCAGTTCATGAGGCACCAGCCCGCTACTGAGAAGCATTTGGGTTGTTTCCAGTCTATAGCTATTTCAAACGATGCTTCCATGAACAAGTTTTTTTACAGAGATCTTCCCATACATGAATGTTATCTGTTAGTTAAATCTAAGAAGTGAAATTGCTAAGTCAAAGAATATGTGTATTTTAATTTTGACTTTGTTAAACTATCCTCCAAAAAGTTTGCAAATTTACACTTTCCCCAGTAGTAAGTGAAAGTCTTGCCAGTGTTGTGACATGTATACCATCAGTTTTTGATCCTTGCCAACCTGGTACATAACAAATAGTTTCCTACATTTCTTTAATTACAAGTGAAAGTGAGAGTCTTTGTGTTTGTTATTTTTCTGTCTATGTCCTTTGTTTTTCTATGGTTGGTCTTTAAAAATATTTTAAAATGGCAAAAGTAAATTTCTATAAAAATACTACATATTTAGATTAAATAATTTCCATTTTAAACTTGTCTCTACTCATGTTCTCCACTGAATCTATGATCTCCTAGAGTTCACTATTCAAATCTTTGTTTGGATTAATTCTGGTAACTTATTATTGCTCATGTGTAATTAACAAAAAACAGTTAATTCAATAATTGGTTTGTGTGTGGGGTGATGGGAAAGAAGAAAGATGTGTTATAAAGGAAGAATAAAACTTAAAGCTAATTATGAGGGAAGTAGTCTCTTTGGACAGTACAAATTGAGCCAGTATACCTGCCCATAGTTTGATAGGGTCCACGTAAATATTTTGATTCGTCTTCTCACTATAAACTGTGGCAAACACGGGTATGTACAGGTCTGTATATACTGGTGGGAGTGGTGGAAAAAATTTGGCAACATTTAGTAACATAAGATTCTATGCAGTTTTTTTGTATGCTTACAATATTTCCCCAAAGTAATTTCTTTTAAGTGGTCTACATTATAAATGCCTACCAGTGCTCTGACGTAGGAGTCTCATCCTGCTGCTTGTTTGGAACCTGCTGCAGGGGGCACAAGGCTGTCCAGCTGTTGCAGATGTCCTGTATTAATCAACCACTCATAGAACTTATTCTCCACAAGGATCTGGAACTGCTTCCTTTGATCCCTAAAATTGCAGTGTAGAACAAGAATGTAAAAACACTAACTTGTGTTAATTTCACTCTAAGTGATTATAAAACACGTTAATGGAATAAATGTTAAATTGTTTCTAATTACCCATTTGTTTTCTCCAAATAACTGCTGTGTTCAGTTATGTACATTGGACCACCACCCCCAAAAATAAATTTGGTCAGATACAATGCCTTCTTTGTAAAGTCTTATCTTTAATTATATAGTTTGTTCTACTGCGGTTACTTATTCAACAGATATTTGCTGAAGACCAAGTGATGCTGGGTGGAATTCTGACTTATGGGGATAAATGTGCAAAGAAAGGAGAAGAGACAAGGCTCCTGTCCAGGCAGGTCTGCTCTGTACGACTCCAGAGGGCACCATCCACACTATCAACCTATGTAGTCTATGTTCCATGTGGACTGTGTATTCTAGTAGGGGAGATAGGTAATAAATAAAATAAATATATGATATGAACTTAAGTAGTTTTAAGTGCCTTCCAGAACAATACAGCAGAGTACGTGAATGGAGAATATTGGTAATGCTATTTTAGGAAGAAAAATGAACAGAGAAAGCCTGAGATAAAACTTAAGCAGAGGTCTGAATGGACTGATGGACTAAGCAAACTAAATATCTGGAGAAGGGCATTCCAGGCAGAGGAAATAACAAGTGCAAAGGCTCTGAAATGAGAGCATATTTAACATGTTCAAGATAAGAAAGAGAAGACTAGCTCTTGATAGCCAGGAGCTAGCTTAGTACTATCAGCCAGCACTTACTGTAGCTAGGATCTGGCCTGGCTGTGTCTGTTGAACATAAACAATTCCACAGAAGAAGGCCAACATTCTACAAGACCATTCTGGGACGATAACAGATCAAGGCAAGAACAAGACCACTCCATAATCCTATCTTAGTCCAGACAAAAATCATTTTGTGGTCCATAGAACAAAAGTAACCAAATATCACCCTTCTCTGCCTATTGAATAACTGCTGTTTCTTTATGATTCTAGTTTTAGCTCCATTTTATTCCTTTGCATTTAATATAAAAATTACTAAAATACAGATTATTGAATTACTCTTGCTTCCAGATAGCATCCAACCCAAACAAAAGCTTGCTTCCTAGAACCCTCCCCCAAATCACCTAACACAAGTCAAAACCCAATTATAAGTTCTTTTTAACACCCTTTTCCTGAAATGAAACACAATTCTCTCCCTACTTGCAATGAGTAATAAAACCCAGCTTTGTTCTGTATTCACTGTCCTGGTGGTGTTTGGCTAGAGGGCAATGACTAAGTAATAGCAAGAAGACTGTAGAACTGGCAGAAGGGGAGTGAGAAAAGAATAGCAGAAAATGAGGCAGGAGGAATGTTAGGTATAGTAAACGTTTTAGATTTTATTCCAAGATGATGGGAAGCCATCAGAGGGGTCAGAGCAGAGAAATGATACAATCTAATCACTTTTAAAAGACTGTGTTGGCAGTTTGTTTTCAAATTGATCAAAAATGATTTTGTCTTCCCATATTCCCCAAAGTAAACTGAGTGCTTTTCCTTGTTTTTAGTGTTTCCTGGATCTTAATGCCTTAATACACAATGATTCAGAGCCAACATTTATTAAAGTCACCACATTCTGAACACTGCTCATGTGTATAAGTTTTTCACATGTGTAAGAAAAATCTAGGCATCTAAATACTCGAATCAAAACAACGGAAGTGCTTTAAAGGATGTTTTGTTCAATGATCATTGTTATATAACACTGTTATTATATTATATTACATTAGTAACAACAGTTCCCAGAAAATAATAAAGACACTAAGAACCTAGGTTCTGGAATTAGGCGTACTAACAGTTGTTAGTCCCAGCTGCTGTATGACTTTGGGTAAATTATTTAATCTGTTTCTCAGTTTCCTTTTCTGTAATAGGGTATTTGTTATAAAGCATAAATGAGTTAATACATAGAAGGTGCTTAAAATAGTTGCACAGTAAGTGCTCAATACATATTACCTGTTATTATGGTCATCATCATCATTCTACGATATGCTAAACTGAGAATGACTAGTCTGTAGCATTAATGTCTTGGTGGCTCAATTCACAAGATACAAACCAGGTGGAGTGTTTGGAAAAATAGCAGCATCATCACAATAAATTCCCAGGCAAAGCATGAGTTGTAACTGTTGTGATCTTTATATATTTTGTTTGAAGCAACTATTTTTAAAGGGTCTAAATGCAATTGTGTAACTATGAATATATATAGGGTGGGACTAAAGTAGATTTACAGTTGTGAGTACATGAAACCAAACTTTATCTTTGTATTTTTATTTAATTACTGTATTACTTTCTACACAAACAACCATAAACCTACTTTTGCCCCACCCTGTGTTTCTTTCCTTAATCCATATTATGAGAACAACGCCACGAGAATGCACCCAGAAAATACTGTGGCTGGATCAAGTCTTTTTCAATGACTATTTCTCTTACTCTTATTCTTACTATTCTAACAGGTCAGGTATCAGATATTCTGGGTAAATAATCTTACCCAGAAGATGTGTCTCACAAACACATCACTAAACAGAGTGTCTCACATGCATATTACTAAACACAATATAGCACATACCACTGTACACAATGTCTCACACATACACATTACTTATTATACCTTCACAGCAATCACAACGGGTGGAGAATATGCTTACACTTTATATAATACAATTAAAAGCCAGAGAAGTTAAACGACAGACTCAACATCACATTGTAAAGTGGCATGGTCAGTACTAATTCCTAAGTCTGAGTACTTCCCAGTACAATATAGACACAGCTATCCAAAGAACACTGATCTTGCCCTGAGTAGTGTGGTTCAGTTGGTTGGGCATCATCTGCAAAATGAAGGGTTCAATTCATGGTCAAGGCACATGCCTTGGTTGCAGGTTCGGTCCCTGGTCAGGGTGCATAGGAGAGGCAACCGATCAATGCTTCTCTTTCACACTGATATGTCTTTCCCTCTCTTTCTCCCTCCCTTCCTCTCCCTCTAAAAATAAATAAAATTTTATTAAAATAAGCATTCTTACTCATATATCAAACAGCAGTCTGGATCATCAGAAATAGAAACATTTTAGAGTGGCTGCCATTTTCTAAAATAATGACAACCAGAAAAAAAAATACTAGAAATGAAATCCTACTATTAAAGAGGTTTTTCTGTCTTAAGGAAAAAGAGTCATAATAATCAAGGTATTAGCAGGACATACCGCATTTATTGTAAAGATCCCCCAAAAGAACTTTATACTTTTTTCTGGAACTTGTTACAGCTCACAGGTGGTCAATGTTTTAATTCTGTAGAAGCATCCCTTCATCTTTTGGTGCTATGTTTCCTATGTTCCTTTCCTAATATTGCTAACAAATAAAATTTGACTAAATACCAAGATACTTGTATGAACAATAATTATTTATTCTCAGTACCACAATTTTCACGATATATATGGTATTCTTTCCAGAAGAAAGTTGATTAATGAGTCCTGGCTAATGGGGTTCAGTGGACTGAGTGCCGGCCTGTGAACCAAAAGGTCGCTGGTGTGATTTCTAATCAGGGCATGTGCCTGGGTTGTGGGCCAGGTTCCCCGGGTGGGGGTGTGCAAGAGGCAACCAATTGACATATCTCTCACACATGGATGTTTCTCTCCCTTTCTCCACCCCTTACCCTCTCTTTGAAAAGCTAATAAATAGTATCTAAAAAAAAAGTTGATTAATCAAAAGTTTCTAAACTGGGCTCTGATTTTTGGAGTCACCTTTGATTTTCTTGTGTTTTTCACAAAATTTTACACTGAATCCTGCCTCCTGTCAAAGTATTTCTGGTTTCTGCCCCCTTTCCCTCCAAACTAGTCCAGTTTCCTTGTCTAGGCCCAAGAGTGTCCAACCTTTTGACATCTCTGGGCCATACTGGAAGAAGAAGAGTTGTTTTGAGCCACTCATTAAATATCACAAACACTAATGAAAACTGACGAGCAACAAAAAGGTTTTAAGTAAATTTATTATAATTTTTGTTGGGCCACATTCATAGCCATCCTGGGCCGCATATGGCCCATGGGCCAAAGGCTGGACACTCTAGGCCATTGCAATATCATCCTGACTTCCCTCTTTCAAATCTATCTAACCAGAGGACCTTCAGATATGCCAATCACATTTCGTTACACATTTTAAAATCTGCCACAGAATCTAATAAAGTAGCTTGCATACTGTATGCATTCCATAAATGTTCCTGAATAAATGAAAAAGCTTTCTGTACTTCAGTCCACTACTCAAAGCCTTTTAATGGCACCCACTGCTTAATTCCACTTAAGTCTAACTTTCACTGGCTTGCATTCAGGAGTCTATATAACCTGCTCATCCAAGCTTAAATACCACTATTTCCATACCCAGAATCCCATGTCAGCAACTGATTTCCAGGATACCTAAGGCCTGCTTCTGCTTCCACATCTACTCCTCTAGTGATACTAAAAGTATTCTGCTCAGTCCTCACTTCCTATCCAAATTTGGCTCATTCCTCAAATCCAACACAAATTCTACTTCTTCTGTTAATCTTCCCTACTCACTACATGGATGTTTTCTAAATCACTGTAAACCATGTAGCATGTCCCTGGCTTCTGGAAGTCAAAGGCCAATGCTCTTAAAATAAAATTTTGTGACTGACATAATAAACCACAACTATCTACTATCACAGCATGTTAATAAAAGAGTTTAGTACTCAAAAGTAGGAAGAAAATAATCTCAGAAAAAACAGTATTTTAAATTGACTAAATTTAGCTTTATTTGACAACACTGTATGAATTAGGAAAACATGGATTAGGGAAAACTGACAAAACTGGCATTAGTCCATGGACTAGCATGAGGAATCTGTCTGTGGTGTGGTGAAGCCAGGAAGTCAGTATTTTTAACAAGCCCCTTGGATGACTCGGATGCATGACCAAGTTTGAGAACCACTAGCATAGTGTAGAAGCGTAAATTAAAAACTAAAACCAGTCCATTTAAGCATAGGATCATGTGGCATATCCTATATATGATCTTTCATTCATATTAATGTATATCTGCCAACTAAACTTAAGCTTCTTTGAAAAAAGTCTAATACTTAAGTTATTGGACTTTTATCTCCTCAAGCAAAGTGCCTGAAATACTGACCTGACACATAAGCCTTTACTGAGGATATACTGTATATTTTTATTACTTTAGCACAGCTGTAAATACGTGCAGATTAATTTGCTTTCCATGGAGTTTTACTAAGACAAATTATTGCTTCTATAAAATACTTACTTTGTCAAATGAGCTTCCTTCACAGTTTTCTGCCAGATCTGTATCTTTTGTTCTCTTTGGCCCAGTGCTTTCTGATATGCAGATGGAAGACCCCCAGGTATCTCGGTTGTGTCCCCTTCCATTTCAAAGGGAATAATAAATACATAGAATTCACAAGGTGGTAAGAGTCGGAAGACACTTGTGTCTCTGTTCTCTCTGCACAGAATCATTGGATCATCCCAATAGTTAGGCACTGTAGCAAGGCCAGTTCTGGCCATATGGTCCTCCAGCATTGGGTAATGGGTATGAAAAGGGGCAAAAGTTACTGTGTGGTTCCCAGAGAGAATAAGTGGGCGTGTAGGTGTCAGCACATGGAAGATGCAGCCTATAGTAGAAGAGATGGACAAACGATGACAAACAGCAATGACTTTAACATTGTCACAGCTGTGGAGGTGAAGAGCAGTCTGTACTGGGCCGAGAATAAATGTGCTATTTCTGCACTTCTCAATTGTCACAGATCTGAAAAGCGAAAAACTGAGGTAAATTCCTGAGAATGATGTTAAGATAAAAATATCTGACTACAAAATCATTATCTGATGGTTTAAAAAAAAGATCGATCCTAATCCAAAGAAAATGTCAACAATGTCAGAACACTACGAAGACTGTGCTTACCGTAAGGGAGAGAGCAGATATATAAAAGATTCGTTGCAGCGATGAATCTTTACATGTGCCCCCACCAGAGTATCTGAGCTCTTAGCCAACGTCTGCTTGTAAACCTGGCTCATCACCACCATGCGGTGCATCTTAGGGGCCACATGAGTATTACAAGCAATCTTAGCTCTTTTGGTCGTCCCTTCAACTAGTTAAGAAAAACATAAATAAGTGAGATAATTTCAAATGAGAGAAAAATGACAACCATATGATGTTACACATATCTATACATACACATACAAGTCTAAAATTAGATACATGAGGGGTTTAAAAAATACTAGATCTGGGTATGGGTAAAGAGGTGTTTGCTATACCATTCTCTGTACTTTTCAGTATGTTTGTAATACTTGGTAATTTCTTGTTTTAAAAAAGTTTTAAACCTGTAATCTACTCAAGATTGCCAAGACAGATCTAAAATATTTTTCATTTCTCCCTTCACATTAAGTAATGTGTCTAAGGTTGTATAGCTGGTAAGTTGGAGAACTGGGCCAATTCAAATATCTTGTTCTCCAAGATGTCTTATCATTCCCACCTCTAAAAAATCTCTTTCAACTGCCATAATACTAATTCTGAATCCGTCCTAAGTTACTTACCACATCATTCTATGAATTCTTCTTTGGTTTCAGCATTTATTCCCAAGATCATTACTGAGAGCCTCTCTTCCTCTCAAACACAGTGCCTTGCACATCTGAGAAAAAATCTGCGCAGGCTGCATTCCTAACACAGCCCTGCCATTATGTGACTGACTTCTCAGACTGTACTTACCTGCAAGCCACCAGGACATCTTTGTGAAGAATACTGGCCAAATGTAAAAAAATCACTAAAGTATGCTATTATTCTTTTTAAAGAATAATTCTTCTTATTACCTTATAATAGATAAGCAATGCATGGTTATAGAAATATTTAAATACTGGTGGTAAAAGAAGGTAAAATTACTTTTTATTGTAGTATCTACCACTGTTAACATTTTAGTATAATCCTAAGAGGTTAAATAAATATCCTTTTTTCCCTACTAGGGCCTACCCTAACATTTAAAAATTTACTTGAATCTATATTCTTTTATCAACACCAAGAATTATGTAGTGTCTACTATGTATTTATGGGAGCCTTACCAAATGTGAGAACCTTTAATCTCATACCAGAGCAACAGCTTAGTTGGATATAGAAGTCTTAGATCATTATGATTTTGCTCAAGATTCTGTAGGTGTTTATCAACTATTTTCTGTTTTTTTAACATTATAAAAACTTGAATACAAAATTGATTTTTTCTTACCTTTTCACAGAGCCTATTCTTTTATCTTTGAAATTCAGAGATTATGAAAGTATACTGTAGGTGTTTTTTTTTCCCTCACCAACTTTGACATTTGCCTCAGTATAGGCACCTACTTCTCTTCAAATTTATACCTGGGCCCCAAGAAGTCATATAGCACCTGAACCTATCCTTTCAGCCACCACTGGACTAGTGAGAATAGATAACTGATGCAACCAGGGCGAGATACTCTCTGTGATAAATTTAAATCCCCAATTTAGAAATATCTAGTCTGCTTATGTCTGTGGTGCTAAAAAGAGCCTTATCTCTATACCAACTCTCTGAGGTTACCTGTGGAATGGCCAAATTCTGCTGTTGTGCATAGGAAATAGGAGAGCCTCAAGCAAATGAGCCTATGAGAATAAGAGGAAGAATAAAAAAAACCCAAAAAACAAAAAGAGAATTAACTAAAGTTGAGAGTTTCTGTTAACGGAAATCAAAATGACTTAGACTAATAAATCAATTCTCGGAGACTGATGCTGCCTTGAGAGAAAAAGGCATACATGTGCGCGCACTTGCACGCGCACACATGCTCCCCTTTTCTCTTTTACAGTAGCAATATTTTTAGGTCTTTTATATAAGATGTATGACCATTAATATGCCAGAAAACACTAGGTTCCCTAACTGGTCATTCAGTTTAATATAGATTAAAATATTAAATACCTTGGTGAGCCCAAGCCAATTTCTTTCCAGACTTGAGGCAAGCAGAGGTACCAAATGGATTCCCAGTCAAACAGGCTCTCAACCAGGATTGCAGCTTGTAGAAAGAAAAGGTCTTAGAGATCTTTGAGAAGCCACTTTCTGTATGTAGTGGTTGCCATAGTGCAAGTTCATGGAGTGGATATATCTTCCTGGCTCTCCTCACTGTACCTTCAATAAGGAAGCTGAGTGCCACAACAGCTTCTCTAGAGACTAGACTACTGTTAGTCGAATGAGAGGATGTAGTGAGTTGTTCTGGATCTAAAAGCAGCTCAAGGAGATCTGACAGATGGTCAAAGACAAACGCTTGGTGACTGTAATCATTCCAGTTCTAAAAAAAAATCAAAAGGATGCACTCTTAACAGAATAAAGGGATTCTGTAAGACATGAAATTTTTATATTTTAATTATCTTGAATTTATGCTTTGTCTCATACTCAACGAACTATTTAAGGAGCCATAAAAACCTTGTAAGATTTTTTTGTGTGTATGTGATAGGTATAAACAGAGTCTCTCTTGATCTTAGCCAATTCTAAATACTAATAACTAACCCTTAGTGTGTGCCAAACACTAAGTATTACACAAAGTTTAATGTATTTAATCCTAACAACAATCTTAAGATAGCACATTTTACAGATGAGGAAAAAGACAAACAGAAAGGTTTAAAAACTCACTCAAGGTCACACAGCTAGTAAATACTTGGAAAGTTTCAGACCAGACATAAAAATAACCACATTGAGCAGTCATTCAATGAAGCATTGGGTTTCTTTATTTACCTGCTCAAATTACAGAAAAAATTTCCAGTTCCACTGAATGAAACAAAGGAATCAATCTTACAGTAACTAAATTTAGGAGAGGTTATAATTTTGGGAAAAAGCTTCGAGTTGGCAGATGTCCCAATGGCTTGGCTTATTTATTTCACAGTTACTTTTTGTGATATGAACCGTGTTAAGTGATAAATTATGACACTAAGACATACATACTTCCTGTTCTCAAGGAACTCAGAGTATATGTAGTGAAAAGACAACATAAACAAATAACTGTAACACAATGAGGTAACACCTATACCAAAGACCTCCAAAGACATTCTATGAGCAAGAGAGAAACAACAAACTCCAGTTGGGGAAAAAACTGTAGTGAGTGCTGTTTCAACAGATCCTCGATTAATGCTGTTAGATAAATAGACAAGGAAAAAAGGTGTTTGAGGCATAGGGAACAGCATATGCCAAAGACCACAGAAGTAAAATTACTTGCTGTGTTCAGAGAACTGGAAGTTCTACTGAAGGTGAATAAAGCATGCTAGGAAGTGACAGATTAAAAAAACAAAGAAACCCCAGCTAAAGTAGTAGACAGGGACTATCTACTATTAGTAGACTAATCATGAAAGGCTTTGTATGAGACACTAAAACATCTGGACTGTGTGCCAGGGACTAAAACCTATTTTCTCAATAGCTCTCCCTTTCTCTTTCTTTAAAAAAATTGTTAGTCTTTTTTCCATTACCATTTAACCCTCTTATACTCACCTCTCCCCTGAAATCACCACCCTGTTGTCCATGAGTTCTTTTTCCTTTTTGCTCAATCCCTCCACATTCCCTACAGCTGTCATTCTGCTCTTTGTCTATTAGTCTGTCTCTATTTTGTTAGTTCAGTTTGTTCATCAGATTCCACATATGAGTGAAATCATATGGCATTTGTCTTTCTCTGACTGGCTTATTTCACTTAGGACAATGTTCTCCAGATCTATCCATGCTGTAACAAAATGTAAAATTTTCCTTCCTCCCTCCCTCTTTCCCTTCTTCCTTCCTTTTTTACAGTTGAGTAGTATTCTATACTTGAGTAGTATTTCATTCTGTAAATGTCCCATAGTTCTTTTATCCGCTCATCTACTAATGGACACTTGGGCTGCTTCCATATCTTAGTGATTGTAAATAACACTGCAATGAATATAGGGATGCTTATGTTCTTTCAAAGTAGTATTTCGGGTTCCTTCAGATATACTCCCAGAAGTGGGATGGCTGGGTCAAATGGCATATCCATTTTTAAATTTTTGAGTTATCTCTGTACTGCTTTCCACAGTGGTTGTACCAGTCTGCATTCCCACCAAGAGTGCAAAAAGGTTCTCTTTCCTCCACATTCTCACTAGCACTTGTTGTTTGTTGATTTACTGATCATAGCCTTTCTGACAGGTGGGCAGGTGATATTTCACTGTGGTTTTAATTTTTCATTTCTCTGATGATTAGTTACATTCAGCATCTTTTCATATGTCCATTGGTCAACTGTATGTTCTCTTTGGAGAAGTGTCTATTCAGGTTGTTTGCCCATTTTTTAGTTGGGTTGTGTTTTTTTTGGGTGTGTTTTTTAAGTTATTTATAAATTTTGGATATTAACCCCTTATCTGATGTATTGGCAAATAAATTCTCCATTCTGTGGGCTTTTCCTTTTGTTGATGGTCTCCTTCGCTTTGCACTTTTCAGTTTGATGTAGTCCCATTTGTTTATTTTTCCTTTTGTTTCTTTTGCCTAGGGAGATACATCTGATAACATAATTGCTGTGAGCAATGTTCAAGATTTTGGGGCCTTTTTTTAAAGGATTTTTATGGTTTCAGGTTCAATATTTAAGTCTTTAATCCATTTTGAACTTATTCTTGTGTGTGTTGTAAGAAGGTGGTCTAGTTTCATTTTTCTGCACATACCTGTCCAATTTTCCCAACACCATTTATTGAATAAACTATCTTTAGCCCTTTGTACATGCTTGCTTCCTCTGTCATAGAAAGGTGTGCATTTATCTGTGGGCTCTGTATTCTGTTCCATTAACCTCTGTGACCTCTGTTTTTATGCTAGTATCATACTATTCTGATTATTATGGCCTTATAATACAGTTTGTTATTAGGTAGCATGATTCCTCCAACGTTGTTCTTCTTTCTCACGATTGCTGTTGCTATACAGAGCCTTTTGTGGTTCCACAGAAACTTTTGAAATACTTGTTCTACTTCTGTGAAATATAACACTGGAATCTTGATAGGAATTGTGTTGAATCTATACATTACTTTGGGTAGCATAGACATTTTAATGATGTTAATTCCTCCTATCCATGAACATGATATGTACTTCCAGTTACTTATACCTTCTTCAGTTTCTTTCCTCAGTGATTTATAATTTTCTGAGTACAGGTCTTTTACATCCTTGGTTAGATATTCCTAGATACTTTATTCTTTTGAAGCAATTATGAATGGGATTGTTTTCTTAATATCCCTTCCTGTTAGTTCATTATTGACATAAAAATGCAACTGATTTCTGGATATTAATTTTGCATCCTGGTACTTCACTGACTTTATTAATCAGTTCTAGTGGATTATTTGGGGTTCTCTATGTACAATATCATGTTCTCTGCAAGTACAGTTTTACTTTTTCCTTTCCAATTTGGATGACTTTTATTTCTTCGTCTTGTCTGATTGCTGTGGCTAGGACTTACAGTATTATGTTGAATAAGAGAGGTGAAAGCAGACATCCCTGTCTTGTTTCCAATCTTAAGGTAAAGGCTTGTAGTTCCTGCCCATACAGCATGATTCTGGCAATGGGTCTGTCATATATGGCCTTTATAATGTTTAGGTATGTTCCCTGTACTCCCACTTTGCTGAGATTATTTTTACTTACCATGAGTGAGTGCTAGATTTTATCAAATGCTTTTCTGCACCTATTGATATAATCATGTGGTTTTGATTCCTTGTTTCATTTATGTGGTTAATCACATTTATTGATTTGCGAATGTTGTACCAACCTTGCATTCCTGGAATAAATTCCACTTGATTATGGTGTATGATTGTTTTGATGTATTGCTTTATTCAGTTTGCTAATATTCTGTTGAGGATTTAACACCTATGTTCATCAGGGATATTGGCCTGTAATTGTTTTTGTTTGTTGAGAGTATTTTAATTACTGCTTCAATTTCACTCAGTGTAATTTATCTATTCAGATTCTCTGATTCTTCCTGATTTAAGAAGATTGTATGTTTCTAGGAATTATCCATTTTATACAGGTCTGTATATAGTTGTTCATCATATTTTCTTACAATCCTTTGCGTTTCTTTGGTGTCAGTTGTTATTTCTACTCTTTCATTTCTGATTTTATTTGGATAATGTTTCTTTTTTTCTTGATGATCCTGTTAAAAGGTGTGTCAATTTTTTTTATCTTCTCAAAGAACCAGCTCTTGGATTCACTGATCTTTAGTAATTTTTAAAGAATATTTCCTTTATTTCCACTCTGATCTTTATCATTTCCTTCCTTCTACTCACTTTAGACTTTGTTGTTCTTTTCCAAGTTCCTTTAAGTGTAAAGTAGATTGTTTATTTGAGTTTTTTTTGTTTGTTTGTTTTTTGAGATAGGCCTGTAATGCTATGAATTTCCCTCTTAGGATTGCTTTCCCTGTGTCCCACAGACTTTGGATTGTTGTGTTCTCATTTTCATTTGTTTCAAAGTATTTTTTTGACTTCTTCCTTGAGCTCATTGACCCATTCATAGTTTAATAACATGCTATTTAGTTTCCATGTCTTTGTGTGTTTTTCAGTGTTCTTGTGATTGATTTCTAGTTTCATAGCATTGTGGTCAGAGAAGATGCTTGATACGATCTCAGTCTTCTTAAATTTATTGAGATTTGTTTTGTGTCCTAACATGTGGTCTATCCTAGAAAATGTTCCATGTGCACTTGAAAAGTATGTATATTCTGCTGTTTGGGGATGGAATGCTCTGAGGATATCAATTAAATCCATTTGCTATAGTGTGTCATTTAAGGCTGCTGTCTTCTTGTTGATTTTCTGTCTGGAAGATATAGCCATTGAAGCAAATGGGGTGTTATTATCCAGACTATGACTATATTTCTGTCAATCTCTCATTTTATGTCCATCAAGATTTGCTTTACATATTTAGGTGCTCCTATGTTGGGTGCATAAATGTTTACTATAGGGTTTTATCCTATTGTTGGATTGTTCCCTTTGTCATTATGTAGTGACCTTCTGTGTCTCTTCCTATAGCCTTGGTTTTAAAATTTATCTTGTCAATATTAGCACTGAATCACCAGTTTTTTCCCCCTTCCCATGAAATACCATTTTCTATCCTTTTAGTTTTAGTTTGTATGAATCTTTCAATCTGTGGTGGGTCTCTTGGAGACAGCATATATATGGGTCTTGTATTCATATCCATTTCAGCTACCCTGTGTCTTTTGGTTTAGCATTTAAGCCATTTACATTCAAGATCATGATCAATAGCTATATATTTACTGCCATCTTATTTTTAAACTATTTTCTTATTTTTCTCTTTTTCTTCTTAAAGAAAACCCTT